GCAGCCTCCCTGCGGGCCTCTGGACTGGAATTCCTAGAGTGAGAGCTCCTGGGGGTTGTTGGGGATGGTGTGTCCCCTGCATCCTCTGTGCCTGGTGCCGATGGGGCGGCTTGGCTTTCTGGAGGGAGGTCAGTCTTTGGGTGTGAGAAGCATTTGCAGGGATGCAGGCAGTGCAGGGGGCTTGGGCATTCTGATGGCCTTGGTCAGTCCCAGTGCTGGAGGTCCCCGTGGGGAGCCACACCCGAGGAGGGTCCTGTCCTGTTTACAGATTCCAGAGGGTGATAACAATACTCACACTTTTTCACTTATTCGGTAAGCATTTATTGTAGTGCGTAATGTATGCCAGACACCGCAGCAGGTGTTGGGGGTACAGAAGGACATCGCCCCCAGGAGCCCTGCCCCTAGAAGACATTGGCCGGTGAATGCACAGCTCCTGTCCAGTATGACAGAGAGGAACCCGAGGAGCACGGAGTACCTCTGAGTGAAGGGTGGAGGACCTGGGACACATCTCAGAGGAGGTGGTGCTTGATCTGCCCCACGAGCCTTGCCAGTTGGAAGAGCGCGGAGGACATTCCAGGCAGAGGGTGGGCTTCCTGGGAGCCGCCTGCTGTTTACGGCAGCTGTGCTGTACCGGGAGTGGCGCCTCTCATCTGTAAACTTGTCTGGCTGGCGTTCTCAAGATCTCTGAAGAAGCTGAAGTGACTGAGTTCCTTTAATGAGACTCCCCTCCCTGTGTGTTAGGGGTTTCCCAAAGAGGGGTGATTAGAGCCTAGATTGGAACCCCCTCCCTAGCCCTTGGGCCCGCATTGCCTGCCTGCCGCAAGGGCTGGCTTGTCCTCCCCAGCAAGGTGCGTGGGGTGGGGAGAGGGTTGGCTGCTCCCTTGGACCTTTGCAGAGCTGGCTCTCTGTCGGGAGAGGGGGAGGTGAGTGTGCCTGGCTTCCTCTCACAGGAATCCTGTTCATCCAGGCTGTCACCCAGACTTGGTGTCAACATATGGGTCACCAGGGCCCCAGGGCCCTTGGTCTGGAGCTGAAGCACTGAGGGCAATGTCAGGATGGATCCCAGACCGTTGATTTATTTGGAACTTCTAGGGAAAAGCTCCCTCTTTGGAGTTGGGGACGGAGCGGGAAGTAATAGGCCTGGCTGGCTGCTTTCAGGCGTAGTGATTAAGAGGAAGCCCAGGCTCCCGCTAGAGGAAGAGCTCCTGTGGATGGGCTGTGTCCTGCTCGGTGGGTGGGGAAAGGGCTTTTGAGCCAGACAGACCTCAATTTGCCACCCGCTCTCTTACCTTGAACAAGTTACTTACCTCAATGCCTTGACTTTCTCCTCTGCAAAGGGGGATAACGACACGCTTCCCTCATGGGGCTGCTGTGAGGACTAAATGAGGTACTATGTGCAAAGAGCTTAGCAGCACGTCTGGGATGTACTGTGCTCTACAGTAAGTGTTCTCCAGGCGCCAGCTGTTCTCATTGCCTTCCGTGCTCCCAGTGTGCCTGGCCCGCGGTAGGGTACTGTATGTTGGAAACACTGTATGAACTCAGATTTGTTAGCATTTGTTGAATAAGGAAGTATTAAAATTTAGGCTGAGTTGTTTCTGGCCTCCCATAAATGAAGCAGCCATGGTAGATTTTTATTGCAGGGAAAACCATCCAGTTTTCTTAACTCCCCCTGACTCTGAGGTTTTATGATTCTTCTGCACAGCCCTTAAGGATTTTCTTCAATGTAAACACACTGACAAGGGTGGTATTTTGCAACCGGAGTCTGGTTTGGCTCCTGGTGCCCACCCGCTGGCTTGCGTCTGGGATCCACGGCTGTTGAGCCGGTAGGTCTGGTGCTTGGCAGCTGGCATGGAGACAGCAGGGTAAGTGCTCGTTCCCCCCAGATGTGGTTAGGTCTGCAAAGCGGCCAGAAGGTGGAACCCCTCCAGCGGTTTGCTGGGTGGTGGTTTGTCGGGAAGATGCCTGCTGAGGACACAGGAGGGGCCATGGAGCTGACGGTGCCTGGACTGTTGGGTGGGAGGTGGGAACCTCAGAGCCTGCCCACCTGCCTGTCTTTGTGCCCACAGGTTGGGGGCAGCAGCCCAGGGGACATGTGGGTAGGGAAGCTCCGGAGTTGGGGCCTCCCATGTTGACTGTGCCCCCCAACTCTCACTCAGAGACTTGTGGGCCGTCCGCCTGATGCTCTCAGCCTCGTCTGTGACCGAGGGCAGGGGGAGGGGGGAGGCTGCAGGAGGGTTGGCCAGGCCGGGTAGGGGTCCCTCGTGTGTGAGCAGCCTGGGAGGCCCTGACTGAGACGTCAGGGGTGGGACAACACTGGCTGGCTCCTGGAGACGTAGCTTTCCTTTCTGAGCCTGCCACTCGAGTGACTGTGGCCTGGGCTGGGTACAGACGCTCTGCGCTGCAGCTTCTTCGGCTGTGAAATGGGGAAACTGGCCCCTTGGGTACTTTCCCTGATCCGTGATGCTGAAACACCCTGGAGAATTGCCAGTGACTGTGTTTTTTCCCTTTATTTTTGACAAGCAGTTCATACATGTGGTAAAATACAGGGTCTGGTGCAAATAACACCCCCTTTTATTATAAAATCATAAGCATGTAATTCTGTAATAACAATATCACACTCAAACACACCACATGACATTTTAGGTGAAATGTTCAAATTGAAACTGTAAATTATTACACCCATATCGTTACCCTACCAACCACACTCAAGCCAGCGTTACTCCTGCCGCACCCTATGTAGTGAAAGGTTATAAAAGGATATACATAGAGTCAAAGTAAACCTACTTCTTACCCCACACCACTGCCCCCCAGTTTCCCTTCTCAGAGGCATTGACTTTGAAGTTTTTAGCTATTTTTCTGTGCACAGGTGCTCATAAATGTATACACACGTCCCCACCTTTACAAACTTAAAACTGTTATGAATCATGCATCCTAAAGCATGTACAAAATGTATGTACAGTGTAAAGAATGATACACTGAACACTCATGTACCCTCTACTTAGGTTGGGAAAGAACATTCTCAGTGTCTTTGGTGGAAATTATCCCATCTACTGTGTTCTTATCCCATTTACTTATATGACCGTGCATTTATGTTCCTCTGTACTTTGAAAAAAAAATCACTGTATCTGGGAGTTTGGCTCATAACAGTACATGTAATGCTGTCTTGTTCTTTTTAATAGCGACATAATGTTTCCTTTATATGGATGTGTCAGTATTTTATTTTTCCAATTCCCCCTTGATGGGTATTTAGGGTGTTTCCAGTCTTTTGCCATTACCAACAACGCTGCAGTAATTTCTCTGGCTTCCAGGAACTGACATTAATCAAAATATGCTGTAAGAGGTCCTGTGGCATTAGCCTCCCTGACCCGTCCATCATTTCCAGAGCAACACGGACACACAACAGGAAATCCTGCATCGCTCTGGTCTGCTAACACAGGAGTGTCCTGCGCCACCCTCCTTGCACCTCCTTGGAGCCAGCATTGCCTGTCTGATGCCACCCTTTCCCGGAAGCCCCCCGGGGCCAGGTCTCTGAGAGAGTGCGGGGTCCCCGGTGGGGCATCAGCTGTGGGTGCAGAAGTGCACTGGTGGGAACGCAGCCACGGGCCCCACTCCAAGCAGAAAGGTTCCCTTTCTTTGGATTAGGCAACATCCCTGCGAGGGGCCTGGGTCTGCTCTTCTGCTTTTCTTCATCTTCTGCAGATGAGAATGAGGCAGGAGGGGCTGGTTTGGGGGTTCAAGCCCAGGCCACTTGTGTTTTTGAGATGATCCTTCTCACTTTCTCTTCTCTGCTTCATCTGCCTCTTCCTCATTTCCTCTCTCCCCCATTTGTTCTTTTTTCTTTCTTCATCCCCACACCTACCCTTTTGTATTAAAATTCCTGGTAAGCCGACTGGTTCTTTCATCCACACGTGCAGAAGTTATAGCTATTCTTTCCCTTCCTCCCCCATTTCTTGATGTGGACAGTTCCCAGCATAGAAATTGTGGGGTGGTAGGCACTAAGATCAGAGGTCAGTGAATCAGGGCCTTTTGCTTCTTCTTTATCCTGTTGAGCAGATCTTTTGCCTCTGGTCTCTTACTTCCTCCTCCTGCAGGGTGTGAAATGGGGAGGGCAGACCTGCCCAGAAGGAGGTCACAAAGGGGCAGCAATAAGGATCTTGGCCATTGGGTTTAGGGGGCGAGAGGCTGGGAATTGGCAGGGTCTTCAGGGAGAAGAAGAGGAGGTACCTTCTCAAAGTGATAGTGGTTTGCCTATCTGAAAGGTGCTGACCCAGAAGCTTGCCAAATAAGGTTAGTTGGTTCAAAGAGGCCAACAGGCCTAGATCTGAAGGCATTTTTACATTTCTGGGCTTGTGTGTGTCTGCGTGTTCAGTCTCCTTACTGGAAGGTACAAAAGAGCTAAGCAAGTGTGTGGACCCAGAATCGGCCACCTCGGGCTATCCAGACTCCACATCCTACTAGCATGTTGGAGAGACCTTACAAAAATCACTTTTCTAAGTCTCAGTTCCCACCTCCATAAGAGGGGGCTGTTGAAGCATTAAATACAATTATTATAAAATGTTGAGCACATAGTAAATGCTGCATAAATGTTAGCAGTTATTAATATCTTTTAGGTGATTTTCAAACATACCAGGCAGAGCAGGCCTCCTTTCCTTCCCTAGTGAAATCTTCCGTGGAAAGCCAGGATATAAAGGAGCTGAAGTGGAAGCAGCATTGGTTGGAAGGGGGAGGGGAGGGGCGGGCATGGAAGTATATGGGTGGCAGAGGCCCCGGGATCTTTCTGCTGAGTCCCTGAGCCTCTTTCCTGTGGTCCAGCAGTTGACAGCTCTTAGACACAGTTGAGTTGTCCACATTGGCACTGCCTTTTTGGATGGTACTTGGACAGGACTTATTAAAACTTAAAGTAGCCTCCTTCTGCTCAAGTCTAATGAGAAGCTGCAGCACAAGGCGCCACTGCTTCCGCCTCCGGCCCGCTCACCTTGTGCCATGGACTGGCAGCCAGTATGCCAGTCCTAAGCAGTATGAGGCCCCCGACAAGGACTTCATGATCATGGCGCTAGATCTGCTCAGTGGCTTGGCTGAGGGCCCGAGAGGCCACGTGGAGCAGCTGATCGCCAGCAGCAACATCATGCAACAGGTCCTACAGCTGCTCAAAGACTCACAGTCACCCAATATAGCCACTCGGCGAATTGTGCAGGATAAACTCAAGCAACTGAACCTGTTTCCTGACTTCAACAACTACTTGATCTTTGTCCTGACCAGACTCAAGTCAGAAGATGAGCCAATTCTCTCTCTCAGTGGTCTCATCCTCAAGAACAACGTGAAGGCACATTACCAGAGCTTTCCACTGCCTGTGGCTGACTTCATCAAACAAGAGTGTCTCAGCAACACTGGTGCCACCTCCTCACTCATCAGAGTCACCATAGGCATTCCCATCACCACCAGTGCTTCCAAGGATGAGCTGCAGATGTGGCCTGCGCTGCTGCCCCAGCTGTGCAACCTGCTCAACTTGGAGGATTACAACACGTGTGAGGGAGCCTTTGGAGCCCTACAGAAGATCTGTGAAGACTCATCTGAGCTCCTGGATAGTGATGCCTTCAACAGACCCCTCAACATCATGAGCCCCAAGTTCCTGCAATTCTTCAAGTGCTGCAGCCCCAACATCCAGTCCCATGCCATCGCCTGCCTGAACCAGTTCATCATGGACCAGGCCCAAGCGCTGATGGACAATAGCCACACTTTCATTGAGCACCTGTTTGCCCTATCTGTGGACGATGACCCTCAGGTGCAGGAGAACATGTGCTGTGCCCTGGTGATGCTGCTGGAAGTGCGAATCAACAGGCCCATCCCCCACATGCACAGCATTATCCAGTACATGCTGCTGAGGACCCAGGATGAGAACATGGTCCTTGAGACCTGTGAGTTTTGGCTGACGCTGGCCGAGCAGCCCATCTGCAAGGACATTCTGGCCTCCCACATGGTCCAGTTGATTCCCGTCCTGGTGAAGTCCTCGGAAATAGACATTATCCTGCTCAAGGGGGATGTGGAGGATGATGAGGCAGTCCCTGGCAGTGAGCAGGACATTAAACCACGCTTTCACAAGTCACGCACGGTGACACTGCCCCATGAGGCTGAGAGGCCCGACAGCTCTGAGGATGCTGAGGATGATGATGATGATGATGATGCTTTGTTGACTGGAATCTGAGGAAGTGCTCAGTGGCTACACTGGACATTTTGGCCAACGTCTTCCAGGAAGAACTACTGCCCCACCTCCTTCCCCTGCTCAAGGGCCTCCTCTTGCACTCGGGATGGGTGGTCAAGGAGTCAGGCATCCTGGTGCTGGGCGCCATTGCTGAGGGCTGCATGCAGGGTGTGGTGCCCTACCTTCCTGACATGATCCTGCATCTCATCCAGTGCCTGTCAGACAAGAAGGCCCTGGTTTGCTCCATCGCCTGCTGGACACTGAGCCGCTATGCTCACTGAGTGTTCAGCCAGCCGCCGGACATGTGCCCCAAGCCTCTGATGACAGAATTGCTTAAACACATTCTGGATAGCAACAAGAGGGTGCAGGAGGCAGCCTTCAGTGCCTTTGCCACCTTGGAGGAAGAGGCCTGCATGGAGCTGGTGCCTTACCTCAACTATATCCTGGACGCCCTTGTCTTTGCCTTTGTCAAGTTACCAGCACAAGAACCTGCTCATTCTCTATGATGCTGTCGGCACATTGGCGGACTGTGTGGGCCACCACCTCAACCAGCCGGAATATAGCCAGAAGCTGATACCTCCACTCATCCAGAAGTGGAACAAACTCAAGGATGAAGACAAGGACCTCTTCCCTCTGCTTGAGTGTCTGTCATCTGTGGCCACTGCCCTGCAGAGCGGCTTCCTGCCCTACCGTGAGCCTGTCTACCAGTGCTGTGTCACCCTAGTGCAGAAGACACTGGCCCAGGCCATGATGTACACCCAGCACCCTAAGCAGTATGAGGCCCCCGACAAGGACTTCATGATCATGGCGCTAGATCTGCTCAGTGGCTTGGCTGAGGGCCCGAGAGGCCACGTGGAGCAGCTGATGGCCAGCAGCAACATCATGACATTGCTCTTCAGTTCATGCAGAACTCGAAGCCTGAGGTGCTCGATGCAGAGCTCCTTTGCCCTCCTGGGAGACCTCACCAAAGCCTGCTTCATCCATGTCAGGCCCTGAATTGCTGAATTCATGCCCATCCTGGGCACCAACTTGAACCCCGGATTCATCTCTGTCTGCAACAATGCCACCTGGGCCATTGGCGAGATCTGCATGCAGATGGGGGCAGAGATGCAGCCCTATGTGCAGATGGTCCTCAGCAACCTGGTGGAGATCATTAACCGGCCCAACACACCCAAGACGCTGCTGGAAAACAGCCATCACCATCGGCCACCTGGGCTACGTGTGCCTACAGGAGGTGGCGCCCATGCTGCAGCAGTTCATCCGGCCTTGGTGCATGTCCCTCAGGAGCATCAGGGACAATGAGGAGAAGGACTCAGCCTTCAGAGGCATCTGCATGATGATAGGCATCAACCCCGGGGGCATCGTGCAGGACTTATTTTCTTCTGCGATGCTGTAGCCTCCTGGGTGAGCCCAAAGGATGACCTTGGGGACGTGTTTTATAAGGTTTTCCATGGCTTCAAAGATCAAGTTGGGGAGGAGAATGGGCAGCAGTTCTTGGAGCAGTTCCCGCCGCTGGTCAAGGAGAGATTGGCTGCCTTCTATGGGGTCTAGAGGAGCATTGCGATTGCCAGGTTTCTGTCTGTGTCGTCATCGGAGGGGTTGCCGGGGAGTGTGCTGCGTCCAGAAGTTGCCATGCCGTGGTCGAGTGGGGTTAGGGAGGAGTGAGTGGGACCCAAATCCTGATGCCTTCCCTGTCCATCTATCTGCCACGCCTGGCCTGTGTGGCCAGCCAGCGGTGGGCAGGTGGGTGGGTCCTCCACACATCCTACAAACGGGAGGGGGGTGGGGCTTTGTGGCAGCAAGGGCCCCTTTCTCTGAATCGGGTCACCTCAGGCAGCCCTCTTGGGCCAGCCATGTGGGAGGAAAGAGTCAACACAGCCTAAATGACTGAATCTGGCTTAAGATGAAGCAGGGGGAAAGCAGGAGGGGAGTGGGATCCCTGTAGAGAAACGTACACTGACGTACACACGTGGCCACACGCATGTGCCAGCACTGCTGTCAGCCAGGCTGGGCCGGCCACCCCGCCATTTCCCTGACTGCATGGAGACAATAGAGTCAGCAAACCCCTGAGTTAACCCACAAGGCTTTCCGTGTAACCTGCATCTAGAGTTTAAGAAGCTTCTGCTGTTTTATGGGAATTGGCGATGATTGGGGAGGGCTGGGTGGGTTGGGGTCCTCTTCCGGGAGCCCAGGGCGGGGTAAGAGGACGGCCACCTTGGGGCTGCCCCGTGAGCATGCACATGCTTTGGACCTGCTCTGCACACGTCCTGCCAGCTCTCTGGCAGCCTCAGCCAGAGAGTCCTCCTTCTTGTCCCATCCCAACCAGAAGAGTGGAGACCCCGGGAATGGCCAGGGCTGACCAGAGGTCCCCCTTTCCCCCTCTTGTGCTCCAGTGACTTTTGAAGACACTGGCCTGGGCCCTTTTTCTGAGAGAGCTGGGTTAGCCAGAGCTGCTGACACCCCCCACCCCTCCCCCCCCACCTCTCTGCACAAGCACGTCCATTTTCAGGGCAATCTGTTTCTCAGCTTCTGAGAGCCTTCCTCAGGTTCCAGGCCCGCGTTTCTAAGATGAGGGCTGGGGCATTTGACTGATGTTGATGCAGTGAAGGCTTATGCTTTGGCAGCAAGAAGGAGAGCAAGGGCTTGGTGGAAGGGTGGTGTCCTCCCGACCTTGAGGCCATGGGGCTTCCTGTTCATCACTGCTCCCAGGGGCCCTGAGACCCCACCAGATTGGGGTAACAATTGTAGGGACCCTACTGGGATTGGTTGGGGATGTGGTCACAGTGGGAGAGGCTCCCCTAGAACCAGAGGGAGTGTGGTTCCGAGTTGGCCTCAAAATGAAGCTGGGTCCTGCCCCCCCTTAAGGTTTTCTTTATTCTCCTCCCCTGCTTTTTACTTCTTGGGGGCCCCTTTTGGGGTTTTGGGGGGTTTGCTGGGTTCCTGCATCCTGGGGCTGCTCTGTCCATCCCACTGGGTTCCTGGACCCCATCCCCGTCACAGCCCTGTGTCTTTTCTCAGACAGGGTCAGGCCCTGCCTCTATTCCAGGGGGCACTTGGTGCACATTCCATAAACGCCTATAGTTCTCCCTCCCCACCTTGGAAACTCCAGTAGGTCTCTGGAAACCATTTGTAAAGAAGAAAAAAAATTTTTTAAATACCATTTAATTTTCTGGTAACTCCAGTTCTTTAGGGGCATCCTCTGCAGGACCTTGGGGAACATGGGTGGGTTGGCTGGCTGATGGGCGTGGAAACTCCTCCACCCAGTTTTGGGGCAGGACTCCAGCCACCTGCAGGGAAGTGGGAGCCTGGTTCTCCTTCCTTCCTTCCTTCCTTCCTTCCTTCCTTCCTTCCTTCCTTCCTTCCTTCCTTCTTTCCTTCCCCCCCGCCCTTCCTTCCTTTTTAAAGAAAACTATTTAATCTTTAATTTATTTTTGGTTTATTTTTGCACAGCAGAGTTGTAGCTCCTCAACCTTCTCTCCTGCCTGGGGCTGTGGGCCCTGACTGGCCTCGGTCTGCAGATCGGCTTCTTCCCATGTCCCTCCTTGCCCTTCATTTTCTTCCTCCTGCGGACCGCAGGGCCTGTTCATTTGTTACCACGCTGTGCTGGGGACTGGTGCCGAGGTGGAATGAGGTTCCACTTGTGTAGAACTTTGTTCAGAGTAAAGATCAGTTTCTTGTGAAAAACAAAAAACCAAAAAACTGAAAGTATATATTTCTTAGGACTCAGCAGTCCAGCTCCTGGGAACCTGACACCTATAGAAACCACAATCTTTGTAAATACAAGTGTGTGCACAAGGCTGTTCACTGTAGCATTGTTTATAGAAGTAAGAGGTGAGAGATGCCTAAGTGCTCATTGGTAAGGAAAAGACTGAATCAATTATGAAATACTGTATGACTGTAAAATGGACAAGGTAGGTCTATGGACTATCTCAGAAAGATTTTCATGATATAATGAGTGTAAAAATATCAGAGGCAGAGCAAATGATATATATGATACATTGCTGTTTTTTAAGGAGCATTGTGTGTGTATCTGCGTATACTCCACGTGCAGCCACAGGTGCAGAGCCCTCAGTTGCTTGCTAGTACAAAAACCAGTTTGCAGGGTACTGACCGAACTGCTAACAGGACATGACTTTTGGGGGATGGAGGGGAAGCTGGCATTTCTTTCTCTATGGAGTTCTTCCCTGCCCCCAAAAGATTAGCACTTTGGATAATTTTGCTTTCTAGTCGGTGTTTTCCTCCAAATTAAAAAGAGGGAGATCATCTTAGATGTAAGAAAAAGCTCCACAGTGGGTCGTGGATTTGCCCAGGGTCCCACCTGTGCTTGCAGCAGTGGGCTGTGGGTGCAGCTCTGGTGTTATTGAAGCCAGCCTGCTAAACGGAGGGCCCGGCCCCGCCTTGCTTTTCCCTTCCCCTCGGCAGGCTGGCTCTGTGGGCTGCGTTCCCTTTCCACTCTGCTTGCCATCTGTCGAGGAAGCAGTCGTTAGGCTGTTAGTGGTGCCTTCCCCCATATCTAATTTAACAGGCCACCCTTCTCTTAATAGGCCTCACTTATTGCTATGGGATCACCCTTTAATTATTTACATGGGTCAGCCACCTGATGAAACTCCTTTGCTGGAGACAGACGGTACTGACAAGTAGATTAGCTGTACGGGGAGAGGAGAGGAGATCAGGCCTGCAACAGTTAAGAGTGGGTGGCCTTGAAACAGAGATTCATGAAGCATCTAGGAAGGTAATTTTAAAACACTAATAACTTCGAGGCTGTGGTTCACTGCTGAAGGCAGACAGCCCTCCCCCTGGCCCACGCGGGCAGGCTCGCCTTTCCCGTCAGTCTGGGAAGAGTGGGGTCTGCTTAGCTTTCCTTTGCATTGCTTTGAAATCTCTTCAGAGCTACGCCTGCTGTCCCTGTCCTGGCTTATTCCTCTAGGAACTGTTGGGCAGCCCTTGGTTCTTCAGAGTCAGTGGACCTGACCCAGATACCAGCCCTGCCTCTGAGCCATCATGTGACCTTGGACAAGCTACTTTCTTGTCCTAGGGCTGAGTTTCTAACACTCCTAACTCAGTGGATCAGACAAGGCTAGTCCTGTGGTCTCTCATAGTTCTGGAACATTCTGTGGTAATATGCCCATATGTGCTGTTTGGAGGGAGAGAACCATGAGCTAAACCAATAGCCCCAGAAGAGGAGGCCCCGTGCCTCAGTGCTTGTTGCCTGGTGGACCTGGATGTGCCTCCTGATCTGTCCTCTGTATCAGGACTGGCCTGGCATTGGGAGGAGGTGGGACACACCTTGAGCCTGGGTTCCCCAACTATAAAAAGGGCCTAATGGTATTTGCCTTGCCGGATGATGTGGATTTGTGGAAATACAGCTAAATTCCTGGGACACGGTAGGTGCTTATTAAATGGTATTATACACTTAGTACTTGGCATTTTCAACCCTGCTTTTTGTCTTAGCTGGAAAATATATTCCATGTAGGAAGGGAAATGGGCATTATCTTGCTTTATAGATGCCACTGCACAGAAGGCATTGGTCCTGGGACTTGCTGGCCCTTCCCCAAGCAAGTGTGTGCCTTCCTTATTGTGATTATGGGTAACATTCGTTGACTGTTTACTACATGTGATGCACGTGACAACTCTAATCTCCTGAATCTTCGTAAAACTCCATGAAGTAATAGGGACTCTTGCCCCCATTTTATAAATTAAGATATTGAGGCTCTGGGAGGTTGTGTGACGTGCCCAAGGTCACACAGTCAGTAGATGGTGTAAATGGGATAGAGTTACATCCTTTAGGTCTTCGAGTCCTTGTCCTCAGCTGTTATGTGTGCTCTCAGAATGGGGCGGGGGGTGGTGAAGGGGGCATTAGGGAACCAAAATAAGCTCTTGGACAGTCAGAGAGGAAATCATGCCCTTGAATTCCTTAATGTGGCGTATTTTCTAAGTCACAGACATTAACCATGACTTCCATGCTGCGCTTAGGGCTTGTCAGACCCTGTGAGGTGGTGGAGCCCCACAGCCCACATGGGCCTGATGATTCAGTTTTGTCTTGTTTATTGCAAGTGACCTTGAATTACCTAAAACCCAGGGAAATGTGTTCTTAATTTGCCTTGTTAACAATGCTAATTTCCCCCCTCTAACTCAGATTTAAATAACCCTTTCTTCTGCATTGTCACGTGCTTGAAAAGAAGCATCATAAAAAATCCCAGCCCTAAATTCCCTGTAATTACGGGGTATGCTGGAGAGGGAGGGGCACCGAATAGGAGATAATGGGATCATCAGAGCATTCTAAGTGGCACTGGTTATATTCAGTGGCAGAGCTGAAGCCTATGCCTGTTGCTGAGAAAGTTAAAAAGCAAAACAGTCCCTGCTTCAGCCAAGAAGTTTGGCTGTTGAGTTTATTCCCTTTAATTTGGGGCACCTGAGGTTTCCATTCTGCGGTGAGATTGGCTGGATCCTCTCCACCTCTTCCTCCGCCTGGCCGGACAGAACCGTGGGGCCCCCGAGGTGTTTTGGTTTCAGGGGAGCTGCCATCAGTGCTGGCCTTTGATGTCTGCCAG